GATAGGTTAAAGGTCTTTTGGCTTTATAATTTTTCATATTATTAATCAGTAATTGGAATAAAGATTCACTGTTATTTTCAAATTCTTCATCAAAATATGAAATCATTTCTTCAAAATCATCAGAATTAGCAGAATCACTATCTATATCACTGCATTCATGGTTGATCAATTGATGATTAGGGAGTATTCTCAGCTGGAAGAAATTGCTGCCAAATCATTGCCTATTAACAACAATTCACAATAATAAAATGAACATTTGTCTTTTTCTTTTTTTTTTTTTATAAATCATTATTATTATATACATACACGCACATTCAAAAAAACTTTATTTTTATTTTTTTTTTCTGATGTTTTACATGTGTTATGTGGACATAATAAATAAATAACTTAACATTAATATAATAATTGGGCAATGTTAGTCACCCATAGATGCAATTGCTAGTTAGTTGTATTAAAATAAAAATAATTTTTTCTTTTGTCATTTGTAAATAATTCCAAGTCATGTGCCCATTAATTTATCATTGGTCGAAATTATGCATAAATTATGATCTAAATAAATAAAAAAATTTTTTTTTTGAAAAAATTAATTGTTAAATTTTTTAATTTTAAAAAATGGCAACGATTGAAGAAATTAGACAAGAATTAAACAATGCAAAAAAAGAGCATGAAAAGGCGAAGAAGAAGCTGGAAGAATGGGAGGTGAGGTTGAATGAGTTGGAGGAGAAGTTGGACAACGAAGAATATAAGAACAAAGAACAGAAGGAGAGGTGGGAGGGACAAATAAAGAGATTGATCAAAGAAAAGGAAAAATTGGAGGCAACAAAGGAAAGATGGGAGAAGCAGATGACAAAATTGCAAGACACACTGGTTGATTTTGGTAAAGGGGAAGGTAATGAACAAATTGCATAAAAAATTATTTTCCATTCATTCCATTTTGCTTTTGATTGACATTTTATTTGATTAGGAAAAAGAAAATTAGAGGATGAGGAAATTGGTGGTCGAAAGAAAGAGAAACAAACATGTATATTATATATACTCCTTGTGGCATTGGCTAGTAATCCTGTTTTATTCTTTAAAACTTACTTTTTTCAAATATCTGACTTTTTGATATTAAAGATCCTGAAGAATCAGAAGAAGGTTGTGATAGTCTTGCTGTTATATCAGATGAAAGGTTGAAATGGATCACTAAACTTATAGAAAGTAACCAAATTACCCTT